GGGCCCAGCCGCAGTTCCAGTTGCCCCTCAGGGGCTGCTCCAGCCTCACCCTCCTGCTGGCACCCACACAGCAAAGGCAGAGCACAGCCCAGGCTCCTCAGGGCGCTCCCCAATCCCAGGCTGCTCCTCAGCCAAGCGTGGTAGCTCCAGTTTCTCCTAAACCTGGGCATCTTTAAGTGACTTCCTTTGTTCACAGCTGCCTTTTGTTTCAGGCAATGTAAATCCCCCCACCTGAACATCTCACAGTAAGCACCTGCTGACTGTGGGCCTGTGAAACAGAGGAATTACTCACACTGGAAGCAAAATGGGTTAAGTAACTTGCYCCCAGTAACATGAAATTTGTGATACGAGCCAAGTCTTGTCAACACTGTCCAGTTCCCAAAGATCCTTTCTCTCCCTGTGGATGGCACTTTCACATGATTTCCTATCCCTTTTTTAACTCTCATCCTAAGTGCCTGCTCTCGGAGGCAGAACACAGAGCTGTCAGCCAACAGCTGGCACAAGGCTGTTACCTGTTTGATGGTGCCCAGGCTGGCATTGCAGGGTACACAGAGGTTCAGGTATATGCCTGTGGGCAGCAGAAAGTCCACCTGGATGTTCTGGTTTTCCCCCTTGGACCAGAATTCCGTAGGGCAGTAAATGCCTGGGGGCATCCTGCTCACTGCTCAGCTACCACCTGYAAGAAAAGGGAGAACAATCTGTTGACTACATATTGTTTGCTCAGTTCTGTGCTGGGCTCTGTAGAAAATTCATGTGCAAAAGAACCCAAAGAAAGGAAGATCAGCACAGGTTTATAGCTCAGGAAAGCATGAACCTGAGTAAAAACTCCAGTCCAGTGCCTTTGAGCCACAAGTAACTATAGCATCAGCTTCTATKTCAATGCAACCCTCTCTTAATCCCTTCTAGACCGGGATTAACATCYACATCTGCATTTGACAAAGAAATAAGGGAATTATCTCCTCTGGAGAAYAAAGGCACTTGTCCCAATAGTTCATCTGTGACCAAGCAGCCAAGAAAAACAGCGAGTCCCTACCCCTGGCTGTGTAAGGCAATCCTCAGGCCTCATGCTCCAAGCTCCACTTTGTTTTTCCAGAGCTCAGTTCCAGTCTGCAAGAGGGAGAAAGAGTTGTTGCTGGTTCCAAGTATGAATGCATTTTTATACACACAAATAATACTCTGCTGTACATCCCCCCTCTACAAGCACAGAGCAATGAAGTTTCAGGCTGAGACAATCCCAGTAAGTTTGTAATTCCATGCAGCCTCTCCCTTGGCAGGACACTACAATTTATTTTCAGTATGTCTGAAGAAGAGAACAARAATCTGCACACTATCAGGTACAAACTGCTGTTTCAAAATACAGAATGAAACAAAAGGCATTCACCAGAAGCCCGTCAGACATTTCCTTTCTCAAGGACAGGTAATAAAGTCTCCATCCATTTGCCCACAAGCAAAATACTACAGCAGTAAAACCCCAGTTTCCTGCACATAAAACCCCAGTTTCCTGCCCAGATGCCAAGCGGCCGAGCGTGGTGTCCCCACGTGCTGGGAGACTCTGGAACTGGTGGCACTGGCTCCCAGCAAGAGGCAGASAAGTGGCTCTAATTCTCTCCAACCACCTCAGCAGAGAAAGCAGCTCACCTGAGCTCCCTCTCACCAGAGCTTTGCCATCAGCTCAGCAGAGGAACATCCCAGTACAGCCTGGAAGCCCTCCAAACTCAGCCCTGCACACACCCTCAGTGTCACTTGTCCTCAGCCCATGAAAACAGCACAAAATTCTCTCATTCACAACTTTAAACCCGGCTTTGCACTGTGGGTGTAGGGACTCTTTCAGAGGCTGGGCAGTGTGGTGCTGACCCCCAAAGCACAGTSCTGCTGGCAGCTCTCACCAGAACACCACACAGAGCCCAGCACCTTATCTGCCAGCTCCTGGGAACACAGCACCTCCCTGCCAGCGCTGAGGTCAGGATTCCCAGAAAGATGAGCTGGGTTTTATCTGTCCTGCTTCCTCAGCACACAGGCTGCAGCACCCAGAGACCGGATAGAGAGACCACAAACCACCCCCGTGCCTTAGGGAGGGGAGCACAGCGGGAGGAGGAAGGTTTACAAGTTTGAATAAAGCAAAACAAGCCGGTCTTGTTTTCTGCTCATCAACAATAAAATCAGCAAGTTTCTGCTGTGCCTGCTACCTCAGCTGGAATCAGCAAACCATTGGTCTGGCAGCCAAGTTATCAATCTACTTTTGACAAATTAGTTTCCTGTACAACTTGTGTATCCCTCAGAGCCAGGGCAAGCCAGRGTGAGACAGAATTTTGTGTTTCAGAGGGATGTAAATGCACAGAATGAACCTCAGCAGGTACAGAGGCTCCCCTGCTGATCCACATCCACCCACATTCTACAGGAAGACACCCCCAGTTTTCACCCTTCCTGCTGCAACAYACCCCAAACATTTTYTTGCTACAACAYTTCCACTTTCCCCACCCASCCCTTGCTGTCACAATTCTTCCTCCTGGCAGCCACATCTCCCACAGCCCTGAGACTCGGGGTCGGTGCAGGGCAGGCACACAGTGCTGCTGTCCCCAAAGGAGGAAGGGGCTTTTCTTCCTTTCCTTGGCTGATGGGAACCTCAGGCGTGGTGGTGACAAGGTCACAGAMTGTCACAGGACAGGGGACAGTCCAGCTGTGGGACGAGCTGCTGCTGGCACGGGCTGTGCCCACTGAGCTGTGAGGCCACCACAGTGCAGCTTTAGGGCTGCAGAGCAACAAACCCTCGAGCTGCACTGCGAGCAGGGCCTTGGACTGCTCAGACCGGGCAAGAGGAGGGGAAGTGTCACTGTCACTGTCACTGTCACACAGCACAGGCCCCACAGCACCAAGACATTTCCATGGCTCCAGACAAAAAGTTATTCTGCACAACTCCCAGACAATTCAAGCGTGCTCCTCTTTTCACAGGTATTTCTGCTCTGTGGAATGCTTCCATAGGGGGAAAGTAAAAAACTGTGCAAGACCAACTTTGTTAGGAAATTAGGAATGAAATGCATGTGGAGCCATTCCACACTGACTCCTGCCTCTAGCTCAGAACAGCACAAGYAGCAAAGTCTCCACATTTACTCCATATACCCCATTAATTTTGAGGTATGCAACAATTTCCTAGGGAGCAATCAGAAAAGATGCATCCATTGGTACTAATGACTTCCTAAGAGTCATACATGCAATGAACCCACCATACAACGCTCAGACTGCTTCATCACTGGGCAGAAAAAGTGGTGGAGGAAAATAATCACAAGACAAAATTCCCCTTTTTAGATGAAGGCAGATCCACAACTTCCCCTGTCCCCTCTGCCTCAGCTCATTATTCTTTACTCTGCAGGAAAGCCACAGGCTGCTTTTCCCTCCTTAAGGTTTTGCAGTAATTAGTGTGAAGGTAATAAAYGTGTCTCTTTAGCAAAGAGGGGAGCTGATGTGCACATGGGGCAGAAATAAAAGCTCAGCTTTACTGGATGCCATGCAGAGAACATCAGTAACAAGAGGGGACACACCTGAGGAATCTGCCCATGAAGGTAAATTTATGCAGAGGGTACCAGACACATCTGAAACCACCCAGGCAGCACTTAACAGCAGCCGACAGAAAACACACTAACACAAATTTCCTCTTATGAAGTTTATCAACCACAGCTCTGGTGTTTACAACATGCAACTGCTACAGAGAGGAAAAGGCAGAAGAAAAAAAGAAAAAAAAAAAAGCAGCAAGATCACACATGGAACAGCGTTCCCCAAACCTCTGTGAGGCTGCAGCGTCAGACAGACACGGAAGCTCAAACGCCCACAAACAAATTGCAGAATTACTAAACCCCAGGACTACCAAAATACCTCTCGAGTTTATAAGAAATGAGCAGTGAGGAGCTCACAGGTGAAAGAGCTGCGTGGGAGACTGCAGGGAGCCACTTTCATTGCAGCCATGGGTTGGGCTGGGAGAGGAGACCACGGGAATTTTGGAGTAGGCACGTGTTTGACATGGCTTTACCACACAATCCATACCTCGGCAAACCTGAGCCACCTCTGAGCCTTCACAGCCTTTTCAGCGTGTTCTGAAAGAGTTTCGAGCTTGGTCTTGATTTTTCAGTTGGGGTCACAGGGTAAAACAAGTCCACACTGCAGAAAGTAATTTGAACATTGAGTGATTGTAAAATTGCTCTTCAAGATGGACTAGGAAAAATCCTGCAGCAGGTTAAACGTGTCAAACTGTGCCTGCACATGAGAGTTTGGGAGGGAAGGAGGGAGGAAGGGRGCTCACCCCTAGCAGGGCTCGCTGCAGAATCACACCCAGTGCCAGCCACTTCATCACACAGAAAAACCACGCTGCAGCTGCTTCCCTTTGGGTCCCTGGCAATCTCAGGTTAGACTCTGCCTCCAGCTCCTCCTTCTACACCCGAAATGTCAGACCGAGCTCATGAACAAGGCAGGAAAAATCCTGGGGACCCTTTGGAAAGGTGTGGAGAACCACTGGAGCACTGAACAACACCTAAAATTAGCAATGGCTTTCGGATTTTACTCAAACCCTAGTTTAGGATATTCTAATTTCCTTTACTTGTTTTACCATCATATGACTTCTACCGCTACCAAATAYAAAAATCAAATAAAGTTCTTTTTCATATGATCAGCTTCCATTTTGTACATTGATCTCTCCTATCCTTCCACACAGTTGCCTGCACTGATTCACTCACTCTTTCAATAGCAGCTCATTGTTCACCCAACCCTACATACCAGACACAAAGTTATGTTGGTTTGACAATGCCTTTTCTTAGAAATTTCTAAGCCCCTGATTAATCAGATTTTTACTTCCATGAACCATTGGACTGCTGCAGATGCAGCATGAACTGTCCCTGGGCAATGCCCATGCCTAACTCTTCAGACCCCTTCCCCACCAGAGGTGCTGATAAAAACCAGCACTTCAATCCCAAAAATCAGCATCTTCTGTGCATCAAGATGTCACTGGGGAACCATGGATTCTCCACCTTCCATGGAAGGGTTCTAGCTATAAGCAACCACTGGATCTAAAGAATCCCTTGGTTTGTGCCCTTCCCTTYATGAAATAAAGACTCTGAGCTTTTCGACTGTTCACCATCCACCTTACACACGAACACTCCCACAAAACAGGCTCACAGGGAAAAGTAATGGGAAGCAGAACTACACTAATGTGATCTGAACAGGGGCTAACCTTGTTTGTGTGCAGGGCTGATGATGAAAGGGCTTGTCAGCAAGAGAAGAGATAGGAAAGCAGAATGTACATGTGTTGATAAAAACAGGCTGCAGTTTTTGAGGCTCCCAGCTCCAGGAAGAGTATCAGAGCAACCATTCAAGCTCAGCAGAAACTTAAATCCAGCCAGACGCAATAGCCAGAGGAAGGGAAAGAGGAGCTCAGGCAAAGCAATTTAAGAGAAAAAGAGATGGAAAGCCATTCCTCATTCAGGGAATAAAATAATATCACCAGAGAAAGGGAGGCTGAGAAACAGAGAGTKAGAAAAGCATCTGATGGGAGACTTGAGAACCTTGCTCTGGTGGAAACTTTTAATCAGCTTTTAGGCAAACTCACAGTATTGCCTGAAGAACTATCTAGTGGGAAACAGCATATTCAGTGCTTAAAGCAAAAGCTTGAAAACCAACACAAGGCAAAGTTCCATTCCCAAACCTGACAATCGTTTGCTGCACGACATCAAACAACAAATTCCTGTGTTTCAGCTCTCTCACATACACAAGTACAGTCTGTAACTCATGAAGGATGTTGTAATTCTTAAATGCTGGCAAAGTGATGTGATATCCTTGCATTCTTGCTATTACTGCTACCACAGGCATAGCCTGGAAGTTGGAGGAAGTTGTGATAAATGAAAGGTTCCAGCTAAAGAAGTTGCTGAAATTAGGCTGTTTCAACTGCTCCAATGAGTGGACAGTACCAGAAACCCAAGCCCATCTTGTTGATGAAAACAAAAAATAAGTCATGCATTTCTAATGACCTCTACCATGACATTCAAATTTCTTTCCTTTCAGGTTCCCATCTCAGGCATGTACAGCACACTGACACTCTCTTCTGGGAGCTCTTAAAAGACGCCCTCATGCCCTGCCAAAAACACGATCCTAAGCTAACCCACAGCAGAAACACACGTGGCTGTGAA